AGCCATCGGGCCACTCAGCTGTCGGGCCGGCCCCTGAAGACCATTTTAATGGCCACAGGATATAGCATTGAGGCTGTCTCGGGTTTCCTATTGTTGGGTTGTTGTTTATAGGTTTTTGTCTTTATTTGTTTACAGTTATGAATAACATTGCAGTGAATAGCTTTGAGTAAATAATTTCTTATGCTTCAAATTATTTCCTTAAATTAGAATATTAGAAGTGCACATATCAATTTAAAAAGTATAAACGTGTGAGGACCCTGATGCTTGTTGCCAAACTGCTTTCCTGAAACGTTGTATCAGCTTACGCCCGCCTCTGTGTTGTCTGACAGTGGTTTTCCCACCACAGGATTAAGTACTGTCATTGTTCTTAGCCTTTCTAAATTTGATAGCTAAAAACTAGTAGCTCTTCGATGCTTAGTTTTTTGAAGTTCTTTTTCTAATTGTCAAAACACGTCTTGGAGCGTCAGTATTTCTTTTTTTGGTGATTTGTAGATTACTTATTAACCCATTTCATAGCTGTTGCAAATATTTTTTCTCAGTTGAGATTAAAGAGTTGAACATCTTCCTCATTGCCTAAAAGAAATTTGCCGAACCAGGTACTCGAGAACTAAAATAGATTCTCCACGGGGCTTTATCTTATAAGATGTGGAAGCCATCACCGTATGTGGAGTAGATGACTGGGAGCTGAAAGCTGGATTTCATTAGGACCAAAATGATGACTCCACCTTGAGTGAAAGCATAAACACACTCCTCTCTTTAAAAATAACATGGTCTCGTTAAACACGGACTGGCTGTTCCATCCCACTGTTTCCTAGGAAACAGTCGCTGATGAACAGAAGCCCACCAGGTCTTCTTAATTCCCGCCCATGTGTTCGATGTGTGCACCGGACACAAAGCATCGCACATCACTGCCTCGAGAGCCAGCTTGAGTCAACTTCTGGCAGAAAATCAGGAGAGTCTGGACAGATCTGAGTATTAGACAGCAAATCATTTAACGAAAACCAGCTGGGAGGAGTAGGTTTTCCTGTGTCCTTGGACATCTGACAAATGGCGGTAGATGGTTATAATTGTAAAAGAGAAAAAGTAACGCATTCTCTCGGGATGATTTGTAAATTGGGTTTTTCACAGAGAGGAAAAAGTCTGCAATGTCCCCAGTAACGCTATTTGCTGCCATTTTAACACAGCTGGCTGGGCGGAGAGTGGTATTGTTTGAAATGGAGGTCACTCTGTTCTGGGAAGTCTTCCCCCTGACACCTCGGCATGTCTGCTTGGCCGTATGGCCTGGACAGGTCACTCGTTAAGACTGGAATGAAGAGGTCTCCTGCTGGGAGCTGTGACCAGGCCAGATCATGTTTGGGGGCCCCTTCCAGCTGTGGTTTTAAGAAAGGAGGGAAAAGCATTTGTCCGATGGAGGCCGGGCATGGGGTAGGCTAGAGTCAGGACGACAGAGAGTCCAGCACAGCTGACCTGTGGGTCTAAATCCTACGTCAACTTGAGTGTATTACTCAACCACAAGCCTCAGTTTACACAGTGGTGCCATGGGAATAATAATACCGACCTTGCAAGGCTGTCGAGGCTTAAGTGAGATAAAACACATGAGCTCCAACAGCGCGTCTGCACAGTCAGAATCAGTGAATGTCTGGGAGGGCTCTGGGACAACGTTCATGCGATCCCGCAGCCTGGGCTCAGGGCTGGCTCCACTGCACGCTAGGTGCGGGACCTTGGCCAGTGGCTTCCCCTGTCTGTGCCTCAGTTTCCTTGTCCTCACTCAGAAACTGTGATCTTTCCTGTTGATAGGGCTGTTGGGAGAAATAAACAAAATGAAGCATGTCAGGTATTCAGAAGCCGTCTGGCACACAGCGTCAGCTCTTGTCTTTGTCATTCACCTCACGTGGAAATGTTTCTCTTGAGAGTCCAGCAGAGATGGTGAGCACAGCACACGGTGGGGGTGCTCCTCATGGCTGTGGGGGGCGCCCAAGTCCTCACCTTTGAAGGGTCCGCTCCAACCCTCTTGTTTTATCTGAAGGGACCTACAGCATCTTCAGACAGAGGGACAGCCAGTCTGTTACATCCAAAAAGGAGCTAGGGATGAACTTAGGGAACCCCTTCCGGTCAGGTGGTGGTTGTTGCTGCAACACCAGTCCTTCCCTTTTCCAGTGATGAGCAGTGAACTTGCATCAGCTTGCATGTCAGCTGTGGACCCGTGTGGCAACCTGCACTGCACAGGTATCCTGCCAGCGGTCGTGGGTGGTTCTAAGCTGCCTCAGAGGTGCCACTCTGAGAGCCAGAGGCTTTTCAAGTCAGTTAAGGCTCTCAATCTCAACCTATGCAAACAAATCCAGGCACAGCCCACGGTCCCACAAAAGCTAATTTGTTCATCACACGTCAGAAACCCAGGGCGGCACGGGATAGATTCTCTCTGGCTGGCTCACAGGTGCTGTTGGACACTTCAGTCAGACACTTTCCAAGCAGAGGTGAACCATTACAATGACAAAATTTGTTTTGAGTCTTTTGTGTTCTAGCAACGGCTAAAGAGAAATGCGATAGGAAGAGGTGGGTGGGGCAGGGCAGGAGTGGGGCAGAGGCCGAGGGCGAGGGCTCAGGGGCTTCTCTGAGCTGTGCACCAGCTCCTTGCTCGTGTCCCCCTCGAGAGAAGCTGGCCAGGGGCTGGGGCCCACCACAGCTCCTTAGTCTAGTGTCCTGGCTTAACATGTGTGCGTGCATGCGTGTGTGCATGCGTGCGTGTGCGTGTTTTCCTTTTAAAATATCTTAGACGACCTCTCTAAGTAAATAAATTACATTTAAGTGACGTAACCGACCGGTCCGGCAGCATATTTCTTAATGTTTTTTTTACTCTTCACTAGGTCAAGAGTTTCTTTTCCTCATTTTGATTTCTACATCTCTCACTAAATGATACGAATGATATTGCAGTAAGCCCTCATAGTTTCTAGAATTCTATGGAAGCACATAGGACGCCGTCTTAGTCTCAGGACCTGTGGTCACTCATGGACCCTTTTTACAGAGGGAGGGTCACAGCCTTGATTTCTGGTTTTGTTAGTGACTTTTTAAATACAGTCGACCATGTAAAGCTTCTTACAAAGGAGATGGAAAACGTGGTTCTTACACAAGAGAGTTAGACTTTTCTATTTGATGAGAATTTAATATTTGAAAAATTAAAAATTGAGTATAAAGATTAAAAAATTCTTAGGTATCCTTCATGACCGTATCACTTGTCCAAAATGGAAAGCAGAGGATTTCCTGCAAAGAACACAGATTTTATCTCGCCCTTAACACAATATTGACCTAAGTTTAAGTTTGTTTTAAATTCAGTTTATTATTCTGGTTATTCTAAGAGAATGACTACCTTGTCATATATTGAAATGAGATCTTACACATATCTAAAAATGGATGATGTGTATTTTAAAATATTTCCCTTAGCTTGAAGCTGTGAACAAAATCTCTCCATGAGATTCTTGTACTTTCAAGTATTGCTGTAGATAAGCCCCAAAATACTGGCTTTCAGCGTCTTTAATAAATGGGTGCAATTCTTCAGTTTTTCATAGAGCGCGATGAAATTCTTTACGATGCGGTGGAAGTGTTCAGACCTTTTGGCTCAAGAGTAGACCTATCGATGCATGTGTATTCCGTCTAGGAGACATACATGAGGGATCTTGTTTCTGTATTAAATAAAACTCGGACATAGATTAGCTTGTTAATGAAGTTCTTCAGCCGAGGGTTGGGCCCTCTTCTGTTAGAAACACTGTTAAATTTTTATACATCGTTTTAGTGAGAAAAAGAAACGTGGGGATTCACTCTCAAAGGTTCGAAGTCACCACCAGGGGGCGTAACAGACTATCACGTCGCCGGTCTGTGAGATGAAAGGGAAAGCAGAGTGCTGGGGCCACATGTCGAGCAGCTTGTAGACCCCTAGACGCGTTTGGACTGTACCCCACTCTCAAAGGGAGGCCTTTCAAAGGTTTCATAAAGAGGGCTTACCTTCCCCCCCCACCCCCTCGTACTCACATCTCATTTCCTCGGAAGACACAGAGCTGTGTTTTCTGTCTGCATTCCCCACCTGGCATGGTGTGGGGTTACTTCTATTTAATGTCATGGCCCTGATCACAATTACAACTAATTACTTATTTGTGCAATTACTTAACATCAGTCTTCCCTCTGGACAGTCCGACTGCCCCCTTGGTTATTGTTCTATCAGCAGTTGGCTGGTATCTGACACGTGCTAGGCCCTCAATCCATGTTTGTTGATTGAATGAATGACTGAATTAATGAGATCGCACTGGTAGCAGAATGGGAGGAGACGGTTTGGGATAATTCTGAGGACACGCACTGCGCCCTGATATAAGGCAGTGGCGATGGGAGGCATGAAGGATATTAAGAGAGGAAGAGGACTTGATGAACTCAAGTGGGAAGTGGGGGAGAAGGTTGTCTGAGTGCCCACAGCTGGGCGTGTGCGGGCGTTGACTGATATCAAGGCTCTGTGCTGCGCACCTGCAAGGATTGTCTCATTCAGTCTACACAACAACTCTGTAAGGTTGTTACTGTTATTGCCTCTCCTTTACAAATGAGCGAACTGGGGCACAGAGACGTTAAATAAAGCCTTAGGAGGCGCTGGTTGGCAGTGCCCCCACGGGAGAGGAGATGCGGGAGAAAGCCTCCAGGGGGCAACAGGGGTTCCATTTCAGATTTGTCCAGTTTGAGATGCCTTTGGGAGATCCAGGTAGAGATGTCCAGCTGGTGGGTGGGCTGAAGCTTGGAGAAGTCGGGATTAGAAATGTAGATCTGGTGCTCAGGGACAGCGGGGCATGGTCAAAGTGGTGGACCCAATAGAGCCCAGGGAGCAAGAGGCATTATGGGAGAGAGCGCTGAGACCACCCAGGAATCCTATGATACCCCCCATGAGTGTGAGGCGAGGATGTAAGCGCAGTTGTGTATTCTCTTCCCTTATTTTCTGTGGCTTTCAGAAGTAGGTATAATATAATCAGTAAAATGCAAAACTTACTATTTATTATTTGCAAGAGGGTTGGATAGTATCATTTAAATGAGATGCACAAAAGCATGAATTTGCATGAGTATTATTTTCTCTTTCAAAGCATAAAAAAAACCCTGTTGTCAATGATCAATCATGTGACTTTTTAAAGCAAAACTTAAGGAAAACGAAGAACTGTAGTTGACATCTTGACAGACTCAGAAGGATTCTTAACCTTTGGTCCACAAATCCCCCAAGGGCCTTGGTTAGATTTCAAGAGATCCCTGAAACTAGATAGGAAAAAAGAGAAGCATTACCTCCAATTATGAATGTAGGCCAAAAACTTCAGTACTGTTAGAAGTATGTGACTTTGTCACCAATAGAAATCCCAGCTATTTTCGGGTCACCTTATAGTGGCTGCAGACAGCTGGGGACAATGCACATCACTATGTCGATATTAGGGAGATGTCAGCTCCTGCCCTTTGATGCATCGTAAGGAAGCCAGACACGGGCTGGTTATTAAGCTGTTGCCGCTCGGCTCGGAGTCCTCCCTTGGGGCTCTGCACACCTCATCTCCCCTCGGCTCTGCTGACGGGCGCTAGAGGGAGCCCCTGGGGCCGGAAGAAGGAGACAGAACCCGCTGCTCCCTGTGGGCTTCCTGTTTCTGCGAGCATCACCCAGCAACTGCTCCTCACCCCGGCAGCCGCAGCTGGTTCCGTTTCTGGTGTTTTCACGCTCTCTCTCAGAAACCACCGTCGTGGAGCCCTGTCAGAGATTCTGAAGCCCCCTGCTCAGAGGTCTCACCCCCCGCCAGAGCCTTTGGGGTGCAATAACCCAGCCCTTTGCTCCCCCAGCCCTCGCTGTTCCCAAAATTATTACCTCTGTGTTACTTGATCCTCCTTTGCCTTCTCAGCCATCCAGCACCTACTCGTTGGGTCCCTGTGTTAAATTAGTTCCATTAACATAACTGGTGTACTTTCTTTTCTCCTGACTGGACTCTGGTTGGTACACTGTATCACGATTTAAAAATATATTTTGATAATGTATTTCAGAAGAACCCAGTTCCTTTGTAACCGTGTATACTTTGTTTTAAGCACTTAAAAATATTATTCTGAGCATGGCCACCAGCTTCCCCAGCCTGCCTAGGGCATGCAGTGCACAGAGGGGCAGCCAGCCTAATGAATCGCACTTTCCTGGGTTAGGTTTAAAAGCAGCTGGGAACACAAAACACAGAGGTTTTTCTTTCTGTTCTTCCTTCCTTTCCTTTTAAATAAAGTTATGGAGGAAAATGAACTTTGAGTTATGCTCCCCCCTTTAAAAATAATACATGCTCATAGAGACAATGTCAGAAAACCAGAAGGAAACAAAAAGTTATCTGTATCCTCATGATAACCTAAAGACAAACGTGGCTCTATTTTGATGTATTTCCTCAGGGTCTTTGTTGTTGTTTATTTTTGCATAGACATTATTGGGGGTTGTATGTACCCACGTGTGTGCACTCAACACTGTCATAAGCATTTTGCATTCCATTACAAACTTATCATAAACACCATTTTTATAGCTGGACAGGATGCCGTAAGGTAGATATCCCAAGATTGACTTGGCTATTTTCTTATGATATAAAGCTTTTAACATACATTATTTTTTTATTGTGGTAAAACATGCATAACATAAAATTTATGGTGTAACCATTTGTAGGTGTCCAGTTGAGTGGCATTAAGCACACTCACGTTGTTGTGCAACCATCACCACCATCCATCTCCAGAACTTTTCCATTTTCCTAAACTGAAAGTCTGTCCCCACTGAACACTAGCTCCCCAGCCTCCCCTCCCCCAACCCCTGGTGCCCACCATTCTACTTTGTCCCTCTGCATTTAACATAAATTTTTACTATTGTCTCTTCCTTTTCCAATACAAGGTCACGGTAAAATGGCTTAAATGTACATACTCAGTGTAAGCAGTATTTGCCTGATGCCTGCCTGCCCTCCTTTCCTCATTTTTTTAAATTAAATTAGCACCCATCAACATAGGATGCCATCTTGCCAGTCCTCATTGTTCTTATTTTTCTGATGATATCCGAAAATTCATGTAGGGACATGATGACTTCAGTCTTTCCATTTCCATGAATTTTGAATGTAGAGACAAGCTTGTGGTAGGAAGATGGTTTTAAAACAGAGATGTGCCCTGGTCGCATTCTCTGAAGATTCCTTTCCACGCAGATTTCCTAATCTTTTGTGTGGCCAATTTCATGTAGAGACTGCTGGAACTCACACGGTCTGACTTCTGTTTTCTGGGGAAAACTCTGCCCTGACTTTCCTCTTTCTCCTTCTGTGGTATTGCATAAACAAAAGAGTAAATTTGGATTTTTAAAAAATTACCATTTAAAAAAAATCATGGTAAAATACATGTAACAGAAAATCTGCCATCCTAATGATTTCTAAGTGTGTAATTCAGTGGCATTAAGTACATTCACAGTATTGTGCAACCAACACCACCATCCATCTTCATAGCTCTTTCCATCTTCTCAAATTGAAACTCTGTCCCCATTAAACACTAACTCCCCATTCCTCTCCCCCAGCCCCTGGCAACCACTTTTCTACTTTCTGTCTCTGTGAATTTGACAATTCTAGGCATCTCCTGTGACTGGGATCATACAATATTTGTCCTTTGTGTCTGGCTCATTTTACTTTGCATAATGTTTTCAAGGTTTTGCCCATGTTGTAGCATGTATCAGAATTAAAAGAAAGGCCCAATAATATTCCATTGTATGGATATACCACCTTGTGTTTATCCATTCATCTACCAGTGGACACTTGGGTTGCTTCCACTTGTAAAAGAGTAAATTGGATTTTGTATTAAATATGAATTAGAAATTTTAACGTGGACTAACATATGATTAAATGGGTGCTAAAGTCCCTTTTTATCATTATGTTATCTGATATTATTAAGCCAACATGAAACCTCCCGCCCAGGCTCTGTGAAATTGCTCACCTGTGGCCACCAGGAGGCAGCTGTTGGGGTTCGACCACCCCGCCCAAGCCTGCCTGTTTCTCTCAGATTTCTCCTGTTCCTCACTGCTTACATCCCTTTGCCTTCTTCCTGAGATAAGGATGCTAAAAGATAGAGATGGTTCAATTATATTCTATTCTAAACATAGGACATAGCTTTTAAATAATCATAGAATATTAGAGCTGAAAACTGTGCGTATTTTTGCCTTTTTAATACTCTTAGTTGCCTCTCTGTGGGCAGATAATTTCTTCTTTTTCAAAAATCTATGCCATAGGAAAGTCTCTTCACCCAAAAAGAGAAGTTCATGGCTTCTATTGCCTAATGCCGTTCTTTGGAGATGCAGTCATGTCTCCTTATCCGGCTCAAGAAGTTCAAGTCCAGCCATCTAGATCATAAGTCTCAACTAGGAAGTGTCTGGCTGCCTGAGAGGGAGTAACTGTCACAAAATTCAGTCCTCTTGTGATAGAAAAGAGCCTCATGACTTAGAATTCCAGTTGATATTTCGGTTCTACAAAATATATAAAGAACCCATACAACTCAACAACAAAAATACAAACAACCTGACTGAAAAAAATGGGCAGAAGATATGAACAGATGTTTTTCCAAAGAAGATATATGGATGGCCAACAGGCACATGAAAAGATGCTCAACATCACTAATCATCACGGAAACGCAAATCAAAACTACAATGAGATATCACCTTACACCTGTCAGAATGGCTATAATTACCAAGACAAAAAACAACAAATGTTGGAGAGGGTGTGGAGAGAAGGGAACCCTCATACACTGCTGGTGGGAATGCAAACTGGTGCAGCCACTACGGAAAACAGTATGGAGATTCCTCAAAAAACTAAAAATCAAAATACCATACAACCCAGCTTTACCACTACTGGGTATTTATCCAAAGAACTTGAAATCAACAATTGAAAGAGACTTATGCACCCCTATGTTCACTGCAGCATTATTCACAATAGCCAAGACGTGGAAGCAACCCAAGTGCCCATCAACTGATGATTGGATAAAGAAGATGTAGTGTACATATACAATGGAATACTACTCAGCCATAAAAAAGACAAAATCGTCCCATTTGCAACAACATGGATGGACCTTGAGGGTATTATGGGCGAGATAAGTGAGATAAGCCAGATGGAGAAAGACAAACACCATAAGATTTCACTCATATGTGAAAGATAAACAAATACAAGGACAAAGATAACAGATTAGTGGTTACCAGAGGGAAAGGGGGCTGGGGGGGTGGACATAAGGGGTAAAGGAACACATATATATGGTGACTGGCAAATAATAATGTACAACTGAAATTTCACAATGTTATAAACTATTATGACATCAATAAAAAAATAAGTTACAAAAAAAGATATTTCGGTTCTATGGGTTTCACAAACTTATATATTCCCCTGCAGGAGGATATCCAGTGCAGGCTGTGCTGTTCTGAGCGGCAGACATAGAGGCTGAGATAGAAGCCCACTGTGGGGGGCAGGAAGGCAGATAGGGAGAGGCCAGTAATCTGGGACAAAAGTTAACTCCCACATCCCTTTGCAAACGGTGACTGGATACATCAGATTTCGATTAAATGCTCCTTGAACAATTTTGTAACATTGTGCATTATATAGACCAAAATCTCCTCTATACTTACAGTTAGCATTTCATTATTCAAATACTGATTAAGAATAATAACTCATTTAATCCTTATAAACCCCATGAACTAGGTACCATTATTACTCCTATTTTATAGATGAGGAAACCGAGGCACAGAGAGAGCTTATGCAACTTGCTCAAGGCCAACAGCAAGTTTTAGGCTTCAGTCCAGCCATGTTGGCCCTAAAATCTGAGCTCAGCATCCTGCCTGCACGGTGCCTCTCCCTGCAGAAGACAATTGTATTCTAACACTAACAATAGTAATTAACTTTTCACTGACTTCAGGACTATTTCTTCTCCAAGTCGCTTTGTCCATTTATCTTTTATTGGTCAGATTGGATCGTAGCCTTTACAAGACTGTCTTGTTCTGAGACTTGTAATTTGTTTCCCTTCAGATGCCCTACCAGGTGACTGAGAACAGAGTCTCTGTTTACTTTGTAGGCAATTTTAATGCTATTTAAATTGTAACAAGCCTCCTGTGAGTCCTGTCCTGTGTTATTACAGTGCAAGCACTAATGCACAAAGTTGCCACCTTTCTTGTCTCCCTAATTATAGAGCATCCAATTTAAGAACAGCCGGGTATACCAGAGCTGCTGTAACATTGACGATGGGAGTTCTGATGTTCAGACAGGATAAAGAAATCAGCAATGTAACTACTGATGGATGAAATCTGTAACTACTTGCAGATTATGTATATGTCTAATCTGAAAAATCAATCTAAAACTGAAATCATTTGTAATAATAGAAACAAAACCCATCACATTCTCATATCCCACAATAATGACTTTTTTAATAACAGAAAAAAAGATAAGATCTCATTCCAAATAGCATTTAGGAATAAAGAAATATGCAGGACCTGTATGAAGACAACTATAACAATGTACTGAAGGACATCTCAGATTTAAAAATGGACAGAGAGAGACTTGGTTTCTGAATGAGAAGACTCAATGTTGAAATATATTCATCCATCCCTAAATAACTTATCAATAGAATGCAATTCAAATAAAACCCCAGCTTAGGGGACAAGGTTGGTTTAAAGTTTAACAAGTGGACTCTAAAATTAATCTGGAAAAATAAATAGTGAGACCAGCCAAGAAGTTTTTGGAAGAGTATTGAAGGTGATTTTCAACTTTTTTTTTTTTGTAGCCGACAAGTTCTTTGTTCAAACAAAATCTTACCTCGTTAGTCAAATACTTCCAGTGAGTCCTTCACTGCTTCCTGAGTAAAGTTCAAATTTCTTAACCTGAGTATTGTTTAAAACAAACAAACAAAAAAAAACCCAGCCTTCTAACCTTACCTAAAAGTATTCTGAAAAGCAATAAAATTCCCATGATTCCGTCACTTAAATAGAGCAACTGTTTTGTTTATTGTGTTTCCTTCCAGTCTTTGTCTATATGCGTGCATTTTTACCTAGTGGTGGTCATAAGATACTTGTCTAAGAAGCAAGAACACCAAAAGCCTGGCTTTGGGAATAGCAATGAAGCAATGCCAAAATTCAGGGCTTGAAGGGGGGCAGCTGCCGGAAAGAGGGCCAAAGCTCCTGGAGCAGCCCAAAATGCTGATTAAAGCTTTAACTCCAGGCCAGGCCGGTTAAGTGACATTGAGATTCTACCTGTGGCTTCTTGAAATCTGTACGAGAACTGTAATTCTGGAGTCCCTTATCTTGCAGGAAAAGTAATGTGTGGACTTTAGAAGAACAGACAGACTGTGCTGTCAGTTCTCGGCAATGACACTTCGTGACAGGCTGGGGTCCTGCTGCTGTCTGCCGTCCAGTCTCCCATCTTACACAGGAAGCTGGAAGAGGGCACAGGGGTCGTTGGAAACTATGAACTAATAAGCAGCAGAGCAGGGATTCCAACCAGGTTTTCTCCCACGCCTCTGCGCTGGACATCTGAGGGCTTTCTGCAGGATCCCCGGCACTCTGTGCAGACTGTGCAGGAGGCTGCGATGCCAGCAGCCCTCACTCTCCAGCACTGACTCTTTTTGCACGGGGCCTTCCCAGAGGTGCCGAGACGCAAACCTCAGCTCTTTGACCGTCTCACTTGCAGTGTTGTTTCTTCCAGCCCACTTTCGAGATCACACCTTCGGTTTTGGCGTGACCACGCTACCTCTGAAATCTCAGCCTTGAACCCCCGCCCTGTGGCCCCCACATGGTGTGCAGTGCTGAGTTTTTTTGCTCTTCCTGACAACGATAACTAGCCCCGCTTTGGAGTTCTTGATGAGGAAAGAGGGCCACCGATGTTAGAGGATGTGTTGAAATATTTCTGTCTTGACCATTACTTCTGTGCGTGTTTAGCTATGCTGGGGCGTGGCTTCTCGGTGTAAGTTGATAAGTGAATGTGCTTCTACGATGTGGGCGCCTTGGATGAAGGTACAAGTCCCTCCAGATCAGAGGTTCTCAACCCTGGGGCCATGTTGCCTCCCAGGGGACATTTGGCAATGTCTGGAGACATTTTGGGTTGTCACAACTAAGGTAGAGAGTGCTCCTGGCATCTAAGTGTGTAGAGACCAGAGATGCTCTTAAGCATCCTTTGATGCACAGGACAGCCGCCAGACAAAGAATTATTTGACCCAAAATGTCAGTAGTGCTGAGGTTAAGAAACCCTGCTCTGTATTTATATTACAGTTTCCCCATAGAGTCTAATCCCACATTTCATACGGATGGATGTGTCCACTGACGTGAGGATAAGAGGACGGGCCTTGAGTATCATCTGAGCAGCTGAAATCAAGCCCCTTGTCAGAGCAGCATTGGAGAACGTCCAGTGGTCTTCAGATGCCACACCCTCCCATTAATCAAAGGCAGGTTGAAGCTGCCCCGTGAGGCGTCGGGTATAAAGGTGCCTTTAATTGACCTCTTTGCTGGTACTCGGAGATGACGTGGTCAGGAGTGGCTATTTCATCTCCAGTTATTCCAGAATTTCCACTCTTGTGCCAAACATGTCTCTCCCACTGCTGTTCTTGGCTCTTCCTTAAACTGCCCTTGAAGTTCATCTAAAATCTTCATTCTTCGAAGGTAAGCCTTTTCTATCCTATGTGAAAATCTTTTGTAAAGATAACCAGTGCATACAAATTGGTGATAAAGAGGTTGCTTGTAATCCGGCACTGCTCTGGAGTCTAGGAGTTGACGGCTTTTCTTTGAACTCTGTTTCGGGGCCACAGAGCAGAGGCGAAGCCTCATCCCTTAGGGTTTCGGGCCGTGCTGACGGGGGTTACAGGGCTTCTGTTCCTTTCAGGAAATTCTTTTTCTTAGATTATCTTAGGGATGCTGTTTGAGCATCCTGAATGTCTGTCCCTTAGGTTGGAAGGTTGCTCACTTCTGATGTTTTTGTCTTTTCCTTAAGTCAGCTCGTCTTCAACTCACACTGTTTCGCAGAAGTGCCTGCTTTTTAAACCTTTGAATTCATAAGTGCCCTGAAATTTCCCTGTTTGATATGAGTACTATTTAAAT